CTTGGTTTTGCTCTTCCCATTCTCTCCTCATCCCAGTGGGGATGGCAATGAATGAGCAGCTAATGTGTGCTTACCTCCTGGCTGGGGTGAACCCACCAAAGTTAGCTACAAAAATACCTACTGCTTTAGTTCCTAGTACCACTCTCCCTCAGAAAAAAAAATATTTGTTTCAGGTAAGTAGAAACTAAGTCAGTGAAGTTCAAACTGGAAATATGACGTGATTTTTTTAACAGTTGCAGTAATGAATGATTGAACACAGAGGAACAAATGGCTTCACCTTACACCTTGACATTGGAATAAGATTACTTCAGCTGATCAGAGAAAGATCAGCTCTAGCCTGTTGAGTTAGCTTTTTGGAAAGGCAGTGATGTGCAGTCAGTGTTGTTTTACAGTTGTAATTTAAGGAAATCAGTCCAGGTTGTAATAGTCTTTCCTAGCCTTTATCTATGAGTATTCCTTTTGATGTAAATCCTACAGACCTTTCAGAAATCCAGTAGTTTTCATTTTCTCTTGGCTGAACTGTGAAGTACCTTGCCTTCAGGGTAGAATTTCCACTGGTTGATAGAGTGGGTGGAAGGAAACCAAGGAATCTTTCTGAATTACGCTTTAGGGAAACCTGACAGTGTTTCTGCTATAACACGAGCTAACCTCGTTTGATAAATCCTTGCCGAGTTCAGATAATGATATGGTAGGCATAATTCCACAAGTGTGAGATTGTTATGCAGAGATACAGGACTGCTGGAAGAAGTGTAAGCTATCATAGAAAATCTTTGTGATTTGGAAACCGTGGGAGAAAACGTGATAACTGTTGACATGCTTGGCATATCTGAGAGCATGTCTTTAACCTTTTGTTCTTTTACTGAGAAGCAGTTACTGTTTTAGAGTAATCTAGTACCAGTGACTTCCCTTTTGACAGCATTCTCCTCCGAAATGGTTGAATGGGAAAAAGAAAATCTTTCAATAATAAAGCCAAAGAGCAAAAGTCTTTGGAGCTATTTTGTGAACTCAGAAGTGGTGTAATACATTTGGGAAAATGGTGTTTGAAATATCAAGAATAAGTTAAGAGGAAAAAAACCCTCAAAGGATACATGACTGAAAAAAATACAGCAAGAGGTTCAGGTAGATATTGCATGTTATGGTGTGCATGATGGAGTTTGATAAACTGTCTTGAGTTTAATGAGACTTCGGAATTATCTGCCAGACCTCACCCTATGCAAAAGGTTTTTGTTTCTAGATCACTAAGTAAGATGAATAATGCATATTTTATGAACTATTACATACATGAGTTGGATTTATATCAGATAGGGCTAGTTCGTCCAACTCAGGGAACTGATTATAGGATTTGCAAAGGGTTTGTAAGTGGAAAGAGTATGTTGTTTCCATTCTGCTCTGCAGAGTCTCCCTAAGCATATGGTTGGTAACATAGCCCCCAAAATTGGTCTTCTGTTATTGAATTAGTACAGATATTTAGTAGATGAACATTTAAGGAGGACAGTTAGCTCTCCGGTGATGTTTGCTTTCAGACTACCTGTTATTATTCTCATTGATGAACCCAAATTTACCACTTTTGTAGATTAGAGTTACCACACTGATTTGAGATGTCAAAAAAGCGGTTTGAGACTTTGAATGGTAGTAGTCTGAGTCTGAAAATGTTACCTGTGCCACTAGTCCCATGTTGTAGATTTCCCTACCCGTGCCACCTTTAGGGAAATTTTGATTTCACCATAGTATCAGGGCCACCATATCAGCTTTGTAATTCCTCTGCAGTTGTACATCCAAAGTAATGTCTTTGTGGGTGTGTTCCATGCTGTGTACTGCAGTTTTATGGTATTAAATTTAGCTGCAGAGGTAGCTGAAATGGCAGAAGTGAGTAATATTGAGGTTTTGAACAAAGAAGGAGTTGGTTAAAAATTTTGTAGTCAATTCCAGGTAAAAGTCTGAATATTTTCACAAACAAGCTGAATAGGACTACTAATTTGATAGAGGTTTGCTCTCGACTGTTTTTCTGCCTTGGTTAGTTGGAAACAACTAGTATGGTGCAGGCATGCAAATTGTATTTAGGTGGAAATTTGCTTTGTGCTGAATAATGTATTTCATAGGAGGATGTGATAATTTAATGAATGCTTAAAATATGTTGAAGTCCATTTTTATTATAGTCTGTAGTGTGATTTTCTTCTTTTAATTCTGAATTGCTTGAGAAGATTTAAAGCCTAGCTATTTTCTGAAAGGAGGATGCTGGTATTTTTCCTTTATTTCCATAGAAATTAGTCTTTTGTGGTAGAAGCAGTGATGTTTACCTTTCTGCTGTCATTTAAGAATTACAGACTTTTATTTTAACCAGTAAGAACAATGTTGAAATATACTTTGTTTGATTTTTTTTTTTAATATTCTTGCTTTGTTACTACAGAAATCAGAAAGAAATGCTAAAGAAAAAAATGTTCAATCAGTAAAAAAGTTTATTAAATTTACTTTCCTTCCGCAGGTTTTCACTCAATTTTGTATCTTCTTTGTTCACTTACCGCCTGTATGAAGGGATTAGCAAATCTAAATTTAGAGGTCTGCCTGTCTTCCAAGTATCCAGAGTCCATTGTAGTCAATGGATATATAGCCAATACAGTCAGTGGAGCCCGGAAAGCAATTCTTATCCCAAGCTGGGATTATCCATACGCTGGCTAGTCAACTGGGAGCTCTCTAGGCTCCCTTCACTTCTTCATTGCCAGCATCGCCATTGACGTCGGTGTGAAGACTGCTGTATTGAATTGTCTTAATTTGGAACTGCATCCCATCAAAATCTTGTAGTTTAAGCTAAGCCACCTAGTCTCTTTGTTTGGTGAGGGGAGAGAGAGAGAGACATCTTGTGAGGGCAATTCACTCTACCTACTTTAAACATCTGATTTAAATCATGAAATGAGAGCATAATAAAGCCAAAATCTGTGCACACTCCGCCATGGCCTGTAGAAGTCTATATAGTTAAAAACAAAACCTGTGATTGCTGTGTAGTTACCGTTATCAATTAGAGGGCAAGATAGAATGTCTCTTAATTAACTTAATAACCTGATAGGTACGTTTAGACATGGCTAATTAGAGCTTTCTTGTAATTGGGTCTATGATTAATAGACTGTGAAGACTGTTTCATTTGTATTAAATGCATGGGCAGTCACAAGGAAATTAAAATTTGAGCCTGCATTGAATATCTAATAGAAGACCTCAGGATAGCACAATAGTGAAAGATTATGCTCTTTATAAAGAATTAATATATTAAGTTGCTAGTTTAGACCTGTTTTTTTCACGATCTTTTGCAGCCTTATCAATATGTGCATGAATCCCTCTCTTGGAAACGTCCACAGATCAACTTTTGCAAGTTTCTTTTAAAACAGTCTATCTTACATAGTTTAATAAAACTAGTGAATGTAAAAGCGTATGAAGGTACCATTACAGAAGAAAGTAGAAATAACTGGTTTTATTTCTGGTTTGCACAGTGCAAGGTAAAATTCTTGGAGGAGGTAACTGCCGGTTTTTCTGGGACTTGTGTCACCTTTCTGCCTGTTCTTTCTCATTCTGGTTTGGGCAGAACCTCATTTGGGGCAAAACAGTGGGGAAGCAGCAGAAGTGAAGGTATTCACCCCAGTACTCTAGTCTGTAGTAATCATGGAAGGTCCCTCTCACCCCTTTTTTGTGCTGCAGTGTCTCTCGTGGGTGCATGGGGAATTAATCCCTGCTGACATCTGGTCAGGCTTCTTCACTTGTTCCACAGCTGGAAGGGAGAGACTGAGGGAAGGCCCACTGATAGGAAAGACAAAAGGATATAGAGTGAAAGGAAGACATAGCAGTGGAAAGAAGACAGGAGGAGAGAGATGATGGGTAGTGAACAGTCCATCTAGCAGAGATGGAGATCTGCCACTGGAGAGCTCTCCACACTGCCGGATCTCCTGGAGATCCAGTCTTCCATGACACTTTATTTGTTGTTATAAGGCATACTGTGCATGGAAGAACATGTTGTGAAGGTAGACGAAACTTCTTATTTTTCTTATTTGCATTAGGCGAAATAGAGAACAAGTAGAAAACTTGGAAGTTTGGACTAGAAAAGCAAAAAGCATAGTTAATATTTTTAAGAGACATATAAATGTCTTGCATTTCTGTTTTCATGCATAGTTGAAACTTATCTGTTGAATTTTTCATCAAGATATGAATCTCAGTTTGAATGATCTTGTGCCATTTTTATTCTGCTGTTAATGCAGAGGCGGATTCATTGAGACTAGTTGGTCTTTTTCCTTTTCTTTTTCTTGTGAAACCGTGCCTACTTAGCACATTGTGAGTCAGATCAGACTGCTGCTAACCAAAAAGGAATTTTATTTTTGTAACTTGTTGTACACTTTAGTTTTTCTTATTTAATACCTTCACTTTTGTCATCTTTTTTTTAAAACATTTAAAACTTGTAAGTGTATATTTAGAGTACCATGTAGTTTGTTATTCCTACTGTCTATTAAGATGTCATCTGAGCAACAAATGAGAGAATCAAATAAACTTTGGGTAATTTCATCAGGAGTTTAAGATAGTTTTACTAGGGAATGGTGCTAAAATGAGAATACCCCTAATAGACATTCCTAATCTGTAACGTCTTTTCACCTTCAGTGAAGTATATTTTTTTACTTTAAAAATGAGCTGAGTGCACACTAAGTACAGTTACTGCCTGTGTGAAGTGTTTTGCTTTTTTTGTTGGGTGGTTTGGGGTTTTTTTTATATTTCTCTTGCCCCTCCCACCCTTCCAACCCATGGCATAGCGAAGCAATTGAAAACAGGCAGGTAATGTATTTCCTTGTAGGTTCCAATTTGCTGGGGATGACGAGAGTCTCAAAGGAAGCATGAGCTTGAAGAGCACAGACTGGGGGCTGAGCGGATGGAGTTAGGTCCCTTGATGGACTGAGTGGCAGAATTTGGCAGGAGGGCAAAGGCAGTGAGGATCGTGGAGCTGCGATCCTACTTCTGGGGTCTCTGACACCATGTGTGGCAGGGGGATATGGAAGGAGATAACACCTCCTGCATGTGGATATGGATTTACACAGAGAGTATGTCTGAAGCTATTATTGCTGCTGCTGTTATCGCTGGTTGGGATGGAGGTGTTCTTTGCACATTCTGCAGAGTTCGGGAACCCGGCTGTGGTAAGTTGGAGACCACTTTCACACCTTGCTTGGCGCAGTTTGAGAAGCAAACCCCTAAGAGCTTGTTCATTCCTGTTTTGCAGTGGAATACTCATAGTAAAGAGCTTTGTTCTTCCTTAAGTGGCAGGCTTCATCATCTGAGTCACTGTTGTGTTGACTTGAAGTTGTATTTACTTTTAATGACATGTCTGAAAGTGCTTGAGGCAAATGAGGTTGAGGCTTATTACACAAATAAGTAGTATTTTTTTGAACTGCATACTCTTTTCAGTTTATGAGGATTCCAGCAATGTTATTTCTTTTTACAGGACTGGTACAACTCATTTGTTACTCCAGGTAGATAAAAGTAGCCTCTATCTATAGTTCTTTTAACTTTTCTAATTGCTGTCACAGAATAGAACTGATTATGCTCTGGGACAGCACAGATCTCTTTATCACTCAGGCCTTATTATCAATATATTAACAGTAGATAAAAAAGTGGTCCTTTTGAATAGGAGCTAATTTCACATCACCTCAGAATAGCACTTTTTTTTTTTTGTACTTTGTGCAATTATGTTCTTTAGTTTTATTGCTATGTCTCAGAATAAGGTAAAAAATCCTATAATCAGTTTTATTTGATTAAATTTGTTTCTGTTAATTAAAGAGCAAGTCAGTGATGGCAACAATCAAGTACCATTTGTCTTACATTGACATGTAGGCATTCTAAAATTTTTCGTCTTTGTATTACCGTTTTTAGTGCTATATTAATTTTGTAATGTAGTATTAATAGATTGTCCCCATGCATGTCTTACATGCATTGATACTATTAATTTTTTTATCTCAGTTCTCATCATCTTTTTTTTTATTAATCTAAGACAGAAAAATAATTTTCAAACCATGATTCAGAGGAACTATTTAAATTACAAGTCAGCTATTACAGGTTGACACTTTTCCTTTGGTAATAGAATCCTCTGCAGTGGAATTCCTACAGCTATTGTGGTCCGTTAGAAGCACAAGATTACATCTTTCCACTTGTCACTAATTCTGCATTTTGGCAGGGAAAAAAAGAAAGGTTTGCTGTTAAGAGTGTTGCCAAGCAACCAAAATATGAATTACTCCAATTTCTGGATTTTTCTTGTATGATGTATATCAGAGGGTTTCTCCTACCTTGGCGAGAGACAGCCTAGATGAAGTTACACTCTGTAGCTTTACCATTTCTAAGAACAGCAAGTAGCTTAATTTCTCCCTGTGGAGTTTCATTTCAAAATCAAAGACTTTTTTTTTTTTTGGTTCCCTATAGGTAGTTCTCAAAAATCATGTCACAGATGATCCTGTCTTCACAAGATATGCGATTAAGCGTATTTTCTCCTTTTTGTTTTCTGAAGTTAAATTTCTCTTTCTGAAATGGGAAGTTTGTTTCTTTCTTTTTCCATTATGCCTCATTGTTTATACCACTACTTGAATAAAAAGAATCGAAAGTCTTGGAGTGGACGAAGATAACTTGCTGTGTCTTAATAATCCTGCATGCTGTTACTCACGTTTACCATTGTTTGTTATACTCCCTCTTAAGTATCTTTTTCCAACAGAATTAACTGATGGTAATACTAAGTAACTACCGGTATTTGAAAAGTTATTTAATAAATGAAGGTGTGTGGAAAGGATGAAGCGGAGATGGACTTAAGTGTGTGGAAGTTATGGCAAGATTTATGCTTTGGAATAGATGAAAAGAGAATAAATGCTCTTAATAACTTAGCTAGTTTTTTTGTCCTGATTTTGTTGTACATTCCTATAATTTTTTACTTCAGTGGAGCTTTTTCATTTTGCAGTGGCAGTCACAGATTTCCTGTGGAACTGTGTGGGTTTCAGGGTCACCTCCGACGTTAGCCATTGATGTCCTCTCAGGGCACATGCCCAGACCAGAGCCACAGCTTCTTTCTGGATTCCTAATCTACATTTTATGTGTAGGGAGCCAGGAAGAATCTCAGCAGCCGCATGGGGAGTGCTTCTCTTTCTGCAGCCCTGCAAGGCCAGGGCCTGTAACAGTGTTCAGGTAGTATCAATGTATGGCACAGGAGATGATCTCCTGTTGACACTGGTTTTGTATCCATGTCCACAACAGTGTAATAAAATATTTACTCATGTCTATACAATAATATTTTGGAGAACTTGCTTTAAAAAATGTCTGCCTGTTTAATGAGACCTTGGAGTTCCCAGATATGAATGCGTTTTCTAACCAAATCGTTGTTCCATGCCTGGGTGAGATCAAAAATGCACCAACCTTCGTGAAATGTCAATTTCCAATGAGAAGAAACTTGGATGTATGGGTCAGAGAAGAGCTACTCGCTGCTGTGAAAAGGCGCTTGTTCTGAATGGTTAAATGAACAGTATTCATCTTGTTTTGGGTAAATTTGAGCAGGTAGTGGGGATCGGGTTGTTTAACGTAAATTCCAGTGGATAAATGACTGTGTAGGCTAAGAGCGCTTCAGACATGAACGCTTCATAGGGCAAAGCCAGCAGTAGTTTGAGGAGATGGGTGTTTCCAGCTGTTTTCTTCAAAGTTGAAGCCAGGCTTTTCCTTTATATATGCTCCTTTACTTTCGGTAAATACAAGATTAGTTTAGGTGCAATATCCCACTAATTTTTTGTTTTGTTTTAATTTTCTAAAGGAGTTGATGACCAAGCTGATAACAGAGACACCTGACCAGCCAATCCCATTTCTAATTGATCATCTTCAGTCCAAACAGGGGAACCGCAGTCAGCTTCAGAGAACATTGTCTGGCTCTGCTGCCCTGTGGGCAGAGAGTGAAACATCAGGTATGTTCTGTATGCTGGAAAGGCCTAGTCTCCAGTATAATCTTCCCTCACTTTCATCCATGATTTCCTGTATGCACGAGTACCTACTGAACAGGTACTACTCTGGGGTTTTGAGCATGCACAGTAAGTCCTATTTGTCCAGTAGATACTGAACTTGATAGATATTGTTGGTTATCAGCTCAGCCTATCTACATATCATATGAGTCAGACTTACAGGGCGGAAACAATCTCAGTCTCAATGAGAAGGAAGACGCATGTAAAGGTCCCTTGATTCCCCTGCCGTCCTCTTTGCTTTCCCTTTCTCCTTGCTTTGTTTTCCTTTTCCCTCCTGTGGTGTATTTGTGACTGAGATTAGCCTCTATTGAGTTATTTTCTTTAATAATACACATTTTTAACAACCCATCATTCCAACACTTAATAAGAAGATGCTATTACTACTTTATGAACTCCGGTGTGAATAATTTATGATTGTAGATCTTCAGAAGCATAGAAAAAACCTGAAATAATATCTGCTCTGATTCTAAAGTAGAAATTTTAGCTTTGATGTTCTGGTACAAGCTACTCTTAGAATGTTGGTTTTGTATTTAAAAATTGAGTGATGAACTATTTCAGACTATTACAGACCACAAACAGTTGCTGATAGTCGAAATGTTAGTTGTCTGACAAATCAACTTTTTATTTACATCAAAAGTACAGTTTTAAGCATAGGCAGTCAAATATGTAAGGGTTTAAGGACTTTTTCATGACAAAAATTAAGATGTTATGGTTTTAACGAAAAACATATTAATGAATTTCTAAGTTTTGATGTTTAGGAAATGTAAGAAATATATGACATTAGGCATAAATCAGAAATAGGAGAACAAAAAGAGCTGGCTTTGGTTTGAACTGATAGGTCTTGTTTTTCCTGGATTAATTGTTTATTAAGTCTTTGAAAAATGACCCTATAATGTTATAATTGCCTGATTTGATTCTTTTAACAGAAAATAAAGGAACAAGGAGAGATTTTAGAAGTTATGATAAACCTTGGCAAGTAAATGCAAAAAAGCCTAAAAAGTCCAAAAGTGACCTTGCCGTGTCCAACATTTCTCCACCATCACCGGAATCCAAGTCATGTAAGAAAGCTTCACTACGTTATTAATTCGTGCATACTTCTGAACCCATGGTATGTTTTTCTGTTGAATTAGGATTAAAATGGAAGGCAATCTATAAGCAGTTGAAATGGCTAGATGTATATGTTAGAAGAGTTTGATTCTTGTTTTATTTTCGTTTGAATTATGGATACTTAATAATACCCTATGTTGTCATCTATAGATAGAATAGAATTCTAGATAGATAGATAAAAAAATAGAAAAATATCTGGGTGTCATGCACAATTTTATGTTCAGATACCAACTATGATTTGATGTTTTAGTTTGCATTGCCATTTTGCATGTGTAAAATCTGTTCTGTTGATATTGGTCCTAATAACAGATTTTTTTCAGTGGGTCAGGTAATGCAAAACTATGAATTATGAACAAATAGTGTTCAGGATATGAGAGCAGTGTCAGCAGAACAAGTGTACTGCTCTGAGAGTTGCTGAAGGAATCTAAATGGACACTGCAAGAAAAGAGAGAATAGAAATAGAGTGACTGAAGAGAATATTGTCAATGACCTGTAAAACAGAAGTAGTAAAAAAAGAGGCAGCAAGCCTTAATGAAATATAGTGCTTCATGTGTACCTAGCTATTGAAGAAATTTTATTTCTAAGCTTGATTTTAATGGATTTTTTACACAAATAAATGTATCTACAATATACATACATATATATGTGTAGGTACACACGCAAGTGTGTATACAAGATTTGTTCTTCAAAATAACTTGCAAAATTATATTTTCTTCTGTTGACTATTGTAGCTTTTTAAAATTTTTATAATAGTCAAATCTTTTTAATAACTCAGGGTGTGATTAGGTGAACCAGATGAGAACAGAGGTACATAGTATGCTGCAATAGAAGGCTTGCTGTCTTTCTGCTAAAAGCAAGAAGTCTAAGAGTCAGTGGAGTCAAAGAAAAATCTCCCAGTGGCCTCAGTAGGTCAAAATATAGCACAGCAATGGGTAAAGTTAATCATGATAGATTTATGCAATAGGCTGTGCTTTTGGGTAATTAACAGTCTTGTATGGTTATGAGACCTTTTTGATTGAGACTAAATAACTGGAACAAGTGAAAATAGCTGTACAGGTAGCTGTGTCCCATAGCACAACTTTTCTTAGGACTGTATTGTCCTAGCAAGATTTATGGATTATTTTTTCTGGAAAAGGAGTATGTATCTCTGGTTTGTCTTCCTGGAGCACATTGCCTGCTTCAGAAAGACTCCAATTTGATCATCAGTTCCACTGTACCTCTCTATGGCCACATGAATTTTTAAGTCAGTCCAGAAGAAGCATGTGGATTTTAGTTCACTTTCAAGAGTAAATAGGGATATTCAGAGAAGTGGTCATAGTCACTCATAATCTGGGTCTAATCTAACAGTCTTTGCTGGATAACAACAATTTATGGAGATACACTGTTAGAATCAGTGGCCAAGGATGTTGTGAGCTGTTCCTGTCACCATACTGTTGTCTTCACCGCCCTCCTCGTGCTTGCACTTCAGACTATGTGATATGCATCAAGTAACTTCCATCCCATCTCCTAAAGATCTCAAGTTCTCAGTCTTTATCCCAGGTAGGGGTGTGACATCATGTCACTCCCTTCATTTGTGTGCCTAATACTAGTTTAATGCTTGTTGGTCCTTGGGTTGTCCCAGGAGAGGGACAAAGAGGAGGCTGGGCTCTTAAAACTACCAGGTCACATGTCAAGCAAGGAAATAATTTATACATCCATAATATGACTGGACTCAAGGATCTGTCCTTGTGGACTGAAGTGCATCTAATAGTGCTCTTCAGTTGGTAAGGCTTGCTCTCAAGGTACCCAGTCCCTAAGTCTAGCAGCAGAGTTTGTGGGAGTGCAGCTTTACCCTCAACAGACGAAGACAGAGTTAGGGTGTGCTTAAGGCAATTGGGCATGCATAAATACATGGCACTATATGGGATTCATTCTGAGCATGCGGAGAGAGCAGACTAATGACATTGCAAGGCCATTCTATCATCACTGAAACATCATGATGATTGTGAGAGGTTCCTGATGACTAGAAAAAGGCAAACATCACATCCATTTTGAGGAAGGGCAAGAAGGAGACTTTGGGGACTACAAGCTGATCAGCCTAACCTCACTCTCTGGGAAGGTTATTGAACAAATTTTGCTGGAAGGTGTTCCCAGCCACAAGGAGGAAAATCTGATTGGGAACACCAAACATGGGTTTATGAGATCATACATGCCTGATCACATCAACCTGATTGACCTCTTAGATGAAATAACTGGCCCTGTAATCAGAGAAAGAGCAGTGGATGTTTAATACTTTGACTTTAGCAAAACCTTTGTCAGTCTCCCATAGTATCCTTAACTCAGTTGGTGAGGTATGGACTGGATAAGTGGACAACAAGATGCGTGGAAAGTTGGCTCAACTGTTGGATTCAAGGGATTGTGAATGGCAATGCAAAGTCCAGTTGGAAAGCCTGTCACTAGTGGTATGCTTAAGGGACTGGTACTGAGACCAACACCATTTAAAAGTCTCTCTTAATGTCCTGGATGATGAGGTAGGATGTTTTCTTCGGTTTGCAGGTGAGACCAAATTGTGGGAAGTGGTTGGTATTCTGGGTAGCAGGGCTGTTATTCAGAGGAATGTCAACAGGATTGAGGAATGGGCTGAGAGGAACCTCATGAAATTCAACACAGGCAAATGCAAAGTCCTGCATCTTGGACAGAATAACCCTGAACAATAGCATTAACTGGTGTCCGAATGGCTAGAAAGTAGCTTTGTAGAAGAAGACCTGGGGTGCTGATGGACAAGAATATGAACGAGGTGCGGCTGTGTGCTCTTGCAGTGCTGAAGGTGAGCTGCATACTAGGCTGCATTAGCAGAATATAGCCAGCAGTGTTTATTTCACACTTTTGAGATGGCATCTGGAGTATGTCACAATAGACAGTGGCATACTGGAGCAAGTCCAGTGGAGGTCCACCAAGATGATGAGGAGGCTAGAGCATGTGATGGACAAGGAAAAGCTGAACAAAATGCTGAAGGAAACTGGTTTGTTCATCCTGAAGAAATGAAAACTAGGGGGAGATTTTATTGTCACCATCATCTATTACACTGGCTGGTGGTAGAGAAGACTTAGATTCTTCTTGAAAGTGTGTAGTGAAAGGATAAGAGGCAACAAAAATTATACTGCAAGGGTGGTTAAACACTGGAACAGGTTGTCCAGAGAGGCTGTGAAATCTCCATCCTGGAAGATACTGAAAACTCAACTGGATAATTTGAGCAACCTGCCCTCAGTGGCCCAGTTTTGAGCAGCAGGTTGGACTAGAAGACTTTCAGAGGTCCTTTCCATTCCATGCTTTTCTGTTCACGCCCTTTCCTATTTTTTTGTCCCTACCACTGTTTGAAGCCTTGATTCCTCCTATTATTTTCATGACTTAACCCTGCAAATATTTCTGTGCAACTTTCTGAAAATACCTGGTGTATTTGAACTACATTTTTTTAATAGCTGTCATAGAGGCTGGTTTCAGCCGTGTGCCTTTTTGCCATATCTTGCTTTCTTATTTTGTGCCAACAACCAAATTAATAGTGACTTTTTTTGACATTTTTTTCCTGGTTTATGCCAAAATCAGTGGGTACTGTATGCCCCATTAACCACTCAGAACAGCAGAAAATGAGTATGTTCAGAAGCCATTTATTACTCTGTCCAGACGTGCACAGCATATTCCATTTGTTTTGTGCCTTCAGTTTGTACCTCAAAACATTTTTGGGTGTCATTATACATTGCTTTTTCAAAGAGGTAGTAAGGACTCGTCTGAGAGACAGAATGTCTTAGGCCTGCTGAGATCTAAAGATTTACTCTGAGATCTGTGTTTAAGACAAGCAAACATCCCCCCCACCACCCCC